AACAGCAACAGATCATAAGGCAGAAAAGAAAAGGCTGCTTTCTTATTAGGATAAAATAACTTTGCTACACAGTTTGGAGAACCATTAGGTAGCAGTAAAGCCTAGTTCATCCAAATACCAATACTACTATATAAGGCAAATATTTTGTCACTTGTTTTAGGGGAATATTGGATTGATCCGAACCAGGGCTGTTCTGGAGACTCCTTCAAAGTATACTGCAATTTCACAGCAGGTGGGGAAACTTGCATCTACCCAGATAAGAAATCTGAAGGAGTAAGTACCAATCTGTGCTTTCAGGTGGCTGTTGACAGATCCTACTGTGCTGTTGCAATTTTAAACTAAACAGGATAATTACACTGTCACATTTTCATATATCTGTCTTTCTAATTACATTTTTAAATTTGCATACCTCTGGAGTGGTAAAATGGTACATAGAGTTAACAAATACCATTTTCAGTCTTAGACAGGGAATCTATGCACCTGCTTGCTAACATTTCACTGCCTTTCAGAATGCAACACAGCTGAGCAGCCAGTTACTCAACATAATCTAGCATTTGTCACCTAAAAGCAAAACTCTTACTATGTTTCTCTTGTGGGTTCATTTATAGCTATTCATTTATACCTATGCAAAGTAGATGTAAAACACTATGTATTAACACTGTCCTTACTCACTGTTACAGACTATATCAGAGGGGGAAGAAGGTATAGAGGAAGGCTTTCTAAAAGCTTGCCTAAATGAGAGAGATCTATCAGCAGCAACAGCAGTGAAAACTCTAATTTAGACTCTCTTCACAACAACAATTCATACCACCAGTTTACCTGAATCTTAAGAGATTATAATGGTCTCCCTTAATTAGAACTAACTCTCTTTATAAGCTATCACCTTGAGTTCCTGGCAAAGTCACTAATTTGAAGGCATTCTATAAAAAAAAAAATCCTATTTTAGAGCTTTAGAGTGACTGAGATTTCAGAAAGAACCATTGTTTATTATCTGGTGTGAAATTTGTCCCAAGTAATATAAAACCTTCATATCTGTTAATATATGTTTTAAATAATTCTGTCTCTGCTGTTTGATTGCACAGGTTAGAATTTCATCATGGCCAAAGGAGAATCCAGGATCTTGGTTTAGTGAATTCAAGCGAGGCAAACTTGTAAGTTGTCACTGCAACATAACTGTATTCACAAATCAGGCGCACATTATCAGTGATCAGCAGATCCCAAGGAATTTTATAAATATTTAGATAATGAAAAAACCCCCAGCCTTTTTGCCCTAAATATTACAGCAGTTATGTGGTCTCTTACCACTGGGACAACAGAAGCCTGCTTTGTGTTGTCCCACAGTGATCCCAGTGGTCACCTGCACACCTGATGGTGAGGATCTGTCTTCTGGCAGACCACACATCACCACTGAACCTTAGGAAAGCAGCTGGAGCACAGATCCCCCACCCCAGTGCAGTAACTGGAAATATACTGAGTATGAAAAGATGAGGCTGCAGGCTGAAATGACTTTATGATTAACTAAAAACAGATTCCCAAAGAGATTCTGCTGTTTTACACTATAAGATAGGAGTAATTCTCTGTCTTTCCAAATGGAATGAAGCTAAAATATGTGGTTCCTCATCCTAAATATATTGCTAAATTATGAAAATGTGTTTACTGAGTCATAGCTGTATTGACCTTTAAAACTCCATAAAATGTTATATGTTAGTTAATTTTTTTTTTTAAGAACAGCTATGTGGTTCTTTTTTGTCAACAATAATTTTAGTTCACATTGTAACAAAAAAAAAAAAAGATAAATATTCATCTAACTTCTTGTATTTTCCAGCTCTCCTATTTGGATGTTGAAGGCAATTCCATTAATATGGTCCAAATGACATTCCTTAAACTACTGAGTGCCTCTGCCAGACAAAATTTCACTTATAACTGTCACCAGTCTGTAGCTTGGCATGACGCCCCGTCTGACAGCTATGACAAAGCACTGAGGTTCTTAGGATCGAATGATGAAGAAATGTCTTACGACAACAATCCTTACATCAAAGCTCTTCACGACGGCTGTGCAGTAAGTACACGCTCAAAGAGCCTTTACAAAACCAACCTGTCATTTAAAGTAGAAATCAGACAAATCTATTTTTCATAGCTTTCTTCTGAGAAAAGCTTTCTAAACACTTTACTTTTCATATACTGACTTTTAGTAGATTTTTAACTACAGAACACTAGTCCCATATTTAATTTTCACATACGTACCAAAAAGAAATAACCATAAGCCAAGCTACAGAAATGGAACAAACCTGGAATGGCCATCAAGGCATATGCAAACAGAATATTTAGTGAATACAGAAAAACATGTATTAAATAAGCCATATGTATGTACCCAAACATAGTAAATTATTTTAATAGTTTGATATGTGACTTTGTATTTCCTTTCCTCATTTTGTGTATTCAAAGCCAGGTGAAGTTTGTGGATTTTACTTTTCAAAATCCTCCTTTAGCTTTGCTAAAATCCCCAGAGGTGTCCAAACATGCATCAGCTCTCTGATCAACTCTCCATCAGGGTCTCTGTGGGCATAACAACTGTTACCACTTTTCAGAAACAGAATGATTTGTACTCAACACTTTGAAACAAAGACATCAAAAGAGCAAGTGACAGTTGAAACCTCATTAATTATTTTGGGGTTTGATATTGGGAGCATTTTGAAGTCACTTTCTGAGAAGTCAGTGATACAGAATTAGAGACCTGAAAGTGTCACCTGGCTCTCAGACAGAGATGCAGCTCAGGAGGTGCAGAGTCTCTGCTCAGCAGTGGGAGTCTACTACAAAACTGCTTCATGTCAGCCTTTTTATATGCTTTGTATTTTTATTTCATTTTTGTTATCCACAGTGGGTGAATGCAGAGCTCCTGAGAGAGCTGAACGTTGTAACTCTGTAAACTGAGAACCCTCAGATCTGTCAACTTGGATGCTCATCTGAACTCCAGGACTCTGGCACAGCTGAAGGGTCTCAGCAAATACAAGAGACCATGTAAAGGAAGTGCAGTTCTGATAACTAACATAATGACTTGGCTGCATGACATATAGAGGAGCTAGAGAGCTTTCTTTGGGCAGCAAGGATGTGCCTTCAAAGCTGGCTTCTAAGTCCATCAGTTGGCAGTCCTGTCAGACTACTACTTTCTTTCCTGTCCAAACAGCTGCTGTAATATTTTGTGAGACAGTTACACTCTTTCTCTTTCAGAACTAATTAATGATTTTTTTCACAAGGAAGATGTGCGCTGCTATGGGAATATTACTAGTTATTAAATAGTAGAGACATGAACTGAGAATTCTTTAAGAAAGATGAAATGTCTTAGATTATTTTTCATTTATAGGTCTAGTTTAGTAAGTCAAAAAACTACGGCCTATTCTCCTTCTAAAATCAAAACATTTTAAAAATCGTAAGACAATTTATAAACATAATAAACTTTAGAGTTTGCAATATCTGCTACCTGACGGGGCAAAAACTTACAAATTCTCCACTTCAGAGATAACCTGTGAAGATCTCCAGCACATGCTCACTGCTCTGATTGATCTATAACCATTTGCTTTTTTTTGCTTCTCTTTTAACAGTCAAGAAAGGGCTATGCAAAGACAGTGATTGAAATCAACACGCCCAAAATAGACCAAGTGCCCATAGTTGATGTGATGATCAATGACTTTGGTGATCAGAACCAGAAGTTTGGATTTGAGGTCGGTCCTGTCTGCTTCCTTGGTTAAGCTTAAGACAAAATCAGATCAACAAAAATGTTGCACTTTGGTGCTACCAACCCACTTCATGCCACATGCAAGTTTTGAATAAGGATGGCATAGAAAATGTGTCTTGCTGTGTATGTATGTCTTATCTAGAAAGTAATCATTGCCCTTGTAGGGCCAGAATCACATGACTTAAACTTATTTTGCAAAGATGCTGTGGCACAGACAGACAACATAGGGCTCACTTCAGGAACACCCCCTTTGGATTCCTCTGGTGCTGTAAAAAATGAACGACATGGTGCTCCTTCCATTACAACAAAGAGGTGTTAAGAAAGTGTTTAATAAACTGTAATTATTCTATGTACAGTACTATACTGTTATTTCTCTGTCCATTTCCAAAACTTGCATGTGTCTCTGAATTGCATCTGGCTGTTATTTTACATTTACAAAACTACATGGTCAATACTGTGTATGTATTCTGAAAAAATAAAACTGTAATTGCCGGTGAAGCCAATTCCATTTCTGATTAATAATAAAATCCCTTTGTATATATTGTTGTTGAAGAGCTTTGTTATTTGAAGTTGCCAGTAAACTTAAGGTGGCAAAACTGGAAGATCTTGAGCAGCACACTCAAACAACTCTTTTCTGCTGATATCACTCTGTGACAATGAATTTTGATAATGAAAGCACCTTCAAGGGTGCTCTGTTCCATGGTGCTAATACCTCAGACTTCTTATTTTCTTTTCTAATTCCATAATTTCATAAGATAACTGTATATACCTAAAAGAAACAAATTTATATTTTTGGGTGGGGAAAATATGTAAGAAAAAACCAAACTTCTGTGTAAGAGAACTGTTAAAAAATCTGTGTGAAATAATTTAGTCATATAGGTTTCCTTTGTTGTTTTTTTTTTTTTTATCTCATCTAGATTTGTTTCCATTGTGCTTATTTGGTCTGCATAAATATAAAAACTGAATTCTTAACAGTTATTTATGGAGCTTTGCAGTGTTTACTTAGATGTTTATGTAAGCAATGGATGCTTGCTTCCTGAACTGGATACCAGAAGTTCCACAGAATGGTCCTATACAATATTTGCCCGTCCCATTAATATGAATGATTTTTCTTCCTGTTATTCCACCTGAAGGCCAGGGATGCAATATGTCTAGGTCATGTGATTCTACACAGTTGCTAAGCAACATACGAGGGACTGCTTCCTACAGAGCTGTCTTTGACCCAAACCCTTACGATTCGCTATTCAAAGCTCACCAAAAACACAGGTTGGTTTGGCCTCCCCTCTGAACATTTTATTCAGGTAGTTGGAAGTAGAAATTACATTTTAGCTTTACAACACAAATCCTTTTGTAATTATTTTTCATAATATATGTAAGACTTGAAAAGAAATGTTTGTTTCTGTTTCTTATAAATTGTTAAATTAAATAGTACTAGTTTCTGCTGGCTCGTTTCCAACTGGTATTTTCTTATGCACATTTATACATGTAAAAGTGAGATTTCAAAAGTCAACTTCTTGCTGTTCATATTTTCTTTTATTTTTGAACCAAAGTTTGTAACTGTCACCTCAAAGAGGAAAATACAAATTTTATTAATAAAATCAAGTCTTGTCTATCTGGATTGGTCATTCTCTTATTTCAGTGTCCAGAACTCACCCACAGTCATTAGTATAACTTCATTCTGCTTCCAGACCATCCAGGCTCCAAAAAAAAGTAATCTTACTACATGTCCTGGCAAGCACTGGGCAACAGCACTGGAGGAGAAGTGTCAACAGTGAAGCTGCTGGTCTGGCCATGTCACTGTGCAGCAGGGCTGATAAGTTCACATCTGGCTTGTATGGAGTTGTAGCTCCAGCAGTCCTCATAATACTATCAAACATGAGAGAGAAGCCTGATATTCCATGTCCAGCCACTCTTATAAGATACAATGTCTGTCTGCTTCACAGTCTTGTGCTTATCCTTGTAGGACCCCATAAAGTAGGCAAGTGACCCTAATTATTAATGGGAAACAGAAGACAAGAATTAGACCAAGACTTAGAAACTACTGGAACACAAAATTTCCAGCACCTTGCTTTAGATAGTGGAACCAGAACTGGTGATGGGTCCCATCTAGAGACATGACATATGTCCCCAGGGCCTTCTCCAAAACAGCCTATATTTTTTTAATCTGCTAACTGTTCTTTATTAACTCCACTTATGTCTAAGCAAGCTGTGAAAGCAGCTCCGATAATTTTGGCAGAAGAGAAGCTACTTTCTGCTGCTCAAGTGGGCCAGGTTAAGTTAGGGGCTGAGCTGTTCAAGTCTGTCTAAAAAAAACCCCAACACTTCTGGGTGATGTGCTTTAGGGTGATATGGGTAAAAAATAAAAATGGCTGTGTTTTTACAGAGTCAGGATTAGTCTGAAGCAGAATGTTGTTTCTAAAAGTGCAATGATGTATTCAAGAAGCCAAATGGAACCAGATTTGTCCAGAATTAGTCAAAGCATCTTGCCAAGGTTTATGTTGGCAACATCCCAAAAGAGAAAATAAACTTGAGTCTTCTACACTTCTCAGGCAAGGACCCATCACGTTTATTCTTTAACCCTTCTTAAGGCCTTAACCACATACCTTACTATTTATCCTTGTCATGAAAACATCTCATCACGCCAGTTATTCTCACTCCTCTTTGTCCATTCTCTTTTTCAAAATGCTGTTGTTTTTCCTCTCCAGGTTTCAGATTAAAGGGGGAAAATGTCATTATATATTCTTGCCTTTAAGCAAAAATTATGCTCTCCGTTTTTCTCTCAACATAAGTCTCAGCAGCGCTTAAAAAACAAAAAGAGCACTCTTTAGAACAAAAAGAAATTTCACATCAAAACTCACACATTAGTCCTCCTATAAAATAAACTTCAGATTCTGTAATTAAATCCTACTAACCATAAAAACATAAAACCTCAGATTCAGATCCTTCATACACTATTATAAAAACAAACTTACAAAAAATTATGCAAACCAAATTCCTCACTCAACCAAACCCAAAAGAAAACAAGGATCAATATTTTTCCCATTCTAAATTAAAAACCTGTGCAATCCCAGAAAGGTTGGAACTATTAGATGCCATCTGGATTTTACTTGTAGGAACTGACAAAACAGAACCTGGATGTTCTGTGACCATGAGGGGTCACCTGACCTAAAGCACACTGGGCAGTTTATCTTGAAAGTTTGCTTCAAGCCCCTCTAACCAGAAAAGCCATGCTGGAGATGGTTTCCCCACTGCAAACACAGACTGTGGTTATGTTGCATGGAAATGGAGTGAGTCAGTACATGGCAAACACAAGCCCACAAACACTGAGGCAATGTTCTGTCCAGAATAACACAGATATACAATAGAGATTTAAGTCACAAGCTCTGACCATAGAGGCATAAACTGTTCTGTGTGTAGGTGTAGTTTCTTCACCTCTCTCTCCTTTCCTCTTTCTAGCCCAGGATAGGGCAATATCAATTCACCATGACTGGCACATCTCTTGGAAAACTTCATAAAATGTAATGAAGATTTTATTTTCAGTCTAAGCGGGCAGCCATTATGGCTAACATCAACAGTCACCCTGTGACACAAAAAACTACCATCTGATTCAAAAAATAAGGACAGTTAATCTGCTTAAGATTTTTCCCCTGGGGAACGGCTTTGTTAATTTTAAAATGAAGCTTCACATGCTAATGACTAGAAGGAGAAGCTTTAAAAGCCATGGATTTTCTATTGCAAGCACACTCATTTTTCTGTGAATGAACATCTTCTATTGTACATGCACCAAAAAAACTGAAAATGACAAAGACAGCATATTAAATGTCCTGTCTATTATATTTACCGAGAAATGCGTCTTATTTGTGTTCCTTCGGTAGGCACATAAATTATCAGAGGCTTATTGTTAGTTCAGTGAAAAGCAATGCCAAGACTATTGCAAGGGAGTAGATTGCTCTAAAGCTATTTACACATTTTGTTTTCAATAAGAACACTGAAGATAATTTCAGTGAGGAAGGCTGCAAGCACACAGATATTCAGACATACTGCTCTGGCCAAAATTGGGCTTGTTTCTTTCCCAGCTGTTGAATGTTCAGTTCTAATGAGGGAGGATGGAGCCAAAGCCTACATTGCTACCATGGATGGGTTTTGTCTGGGTTGTCCAGGGAGCTTTGGCAGACCTTGACTTTGTTTCCAGTTTCTCAAGGGTAGAAGAAGTGATCTCCATCAAAACACACCTAACTTCAGTAAGAGACAGGAGTTGTTAAGAATTCAGCAGTGGGACTGGGATCTAAGTGCCTTCTCTGCTCCCTGGTATGATCTAAGAAATTTTTTTTTTTAACATCAAAAAGGCATTGTAGTTCAATCTTGCTGAAACATAAAAGAACTCTAGCTTGCACAGTGATTAAAATGCAGATGAAAATTAAAATTCAGTCCACCCAATAAACTGCCAGAAGAAAACCAAATTAATTCTTCTCTAGCCTCAGAAGTTCTCTAAACTGGATATGGTGTAAGGATGTAATGGTTAATTAAAAGAACCTTTCTGAGTTTCCAGGGTTGGGATAACAAGGCTGCCCAGAGTCCCAAGGTCATCTTAACCAGGAATGAACACAGAAGCCTCAACACTGACTTCTCCTCTCAACCTGAAATATCTCATAGCCAAAGATCTTGAAAATGGCCACAGCACCCCCTGTGCTGCAGCATTGCAGGGCCATCAGATTGTGGCCTGCAGAGGCCCAGCCTGCAAGCTCTGAAGTTCCCCAGCACAAATAAAAAGTAAACATAGCTACAGCAGAGCCATAAACCCGAGTTTTTAAACAGAAAATATTAACTAAATGTTGAAACCCAGGATATGACTCACAAATAACAATAATAGCATTACAATATAATTGTTGTTTCTGAAATGGAAACATTGATTTGTTATTTGTTAGTTTACTCAGCATCTTACGCAGGAAGCCCAGTGAAGTCAGCCAGGGTACTGTCATGGCGCTGCATGACTTGTAGAGCAGGTACTCTTCATTACAGCACAGAAAGTAAATTTATTGGAATGAGAGGTGAAAGGATTTAGAATGAAGTTGTTTTTATTGGTATAAAAGCTTCTTTCTGTCAAATATTAACAAACAAAAAAAAAGGTAAGGTTTTATATTCTATTCATACAGTCTCTTGGGCCTGTGCCTTTTTTTTTATTAGAATATCATCTCAGTGGCAGCTCAGGTGAGAAAGTAGCTCTGCTTTGGGGTCCTGTTGCCCAAATTGGCTCACAAGATAACACAGCACAATGTGAGGGCTCAGGCTCTCGAGAATGCACAAATAGATAATCTTCATAACATTCGCTATTCAGTAACTTTCTGATTTGGATGTATAGGGATCACTTATCCTTTTGTTATTCCTCAGAAGGATTTTAGAAATATCCACTTTGCTCTAAGCCTGCAGAATTGTTCAATGCACAGATATTAAGATCAAAGCTGTTTACTGTCAGAAAGGGCCAGAAAAGGAATTTTAATTTCTAAAAACTTTCCACAGCACTTTAAATTCTGAAAAGACCAAAGTATGTTTCACCTTCCAACTTCTCCCACTTTTTTAGCTGTGATGTTTCCATTTGAAATTATAAGATGTTTTTCTCCAAACTGATGGAAAATATTTGACTGGTAGGAGGAAGTCCCCTCATAGCCACACTGAGACAGTCCATGTGCTGGGGTACAGGAGCTGAGCACAATACTGACAGTGGAATAAAGGTGCAATAAAATAGAAGAATAAAGGCACAATAAAATAGTTTCTCACAACAGAAAGGAGGAAAATGTGGAGGGGGAGCAGGAAATAAGAAAGCAGTATGGAAATATGTGGGAAAAGGATGATAGGAGAATTTGCTTCCCTCAACATAGGGCAAGAGGGTGAGAAATCTTTATGGCCAGTCTGGGAGCATCCCATGTGATTGCTGGTGTAGAGCAGGGGTCAGGGTCTGTTTCTCATTGCCAACTGGCAGGGCTGCACCAGCCCCCTGGTAAGGAGGCAGCAGCAAACCTGGTTTCCAAAACACACACCTAAAACCAACAGCAACGATTCCATGTCTCTACGGAAAACACAGCGCTGCTAATACCTGCAGCACTGGCTGCAGCCACGTCCCTGTCCCTTGCTCTCCATCTCCTCCCTTCCCACACTCACCTCTCACTCTCAAAACAGACCTGACACTGCTTGCTCTGCAGGACCTCTATTCTTGTGGAGCAGCCACATTATTTTGTGGCACTGAGGAACGACATTTGAACTGGCATCACATCTTTCCAAGAAAATTTTCCTGGAGAAAGTAATAAAAAAATTTAAAAATGGACAGTACACGTGAACTGACAATACCTGAAATTTTTCCTGATTAAATGATTCTTGACTATTTCAAGACATGCAGTTTTGCATGTGTGCATTCATTTCTCATGTTTTGCATAATCTTTCTGATGACTGTATGCACAAGTGTACCATGTAGAAACAGCAGCTAGCCAAATTTAATTACTCATTAAATTTAATGACTAGGTTAGAATCATCTACTATAAAACTAAGATGAAAGAGAAATCACAAATTTGATAGCCAACTAAGGGCTGAAACATATGCAAGCACAGTTAGTTAATAACCTCTTAATATGCATAACAATAAATACATCATATAGATATACAGCAAATTCAGATGCACGTTACCCAAGTGGAACTCAGCTGTGATGGTGTATAAAATGATACATTTAACACTAATGAGAGGCATAACTCAGAGGAAGCAAAAATATCAAAGTACTTTAGGGTTCTCTTGCAACACTGGAATATTTTTCATAGCCAGATATCATTCCGAACTTTTCTGTTTAAACACAGTGAAGGAAGACAGAGCTTGATGTGTGCCCCCAAATATCTGTAAATAAATGCAGGCTGACTCACATACACAGAAGTCAGGGCTGTAACATTGCAAAAAGCAGAAAAGGGTAAAGCCCAGGGCCTACAAACACAGTATGTGTGACAAGGGAGGATTACAAAGAAACATGACCAAGTACAGCTGAGGAATCATAGAATATCCTGAGTTGAAAAGGACTCACAAGGATCACCGAAGTCCTGGCCCTGCACAGGACAGCCCCAAAAATCATACCTGTGTGCCTGAGAGCATTTTCCAAATGCTCCTTGAACTCTGGCAGGATTGGTGCTGTGACTAGTTCCCCGGAGATCCTGTTCCAGTGCCCAGCCACTCTCTGGGCGAAGAACCTTTCTCTAATATCCAACCTCAACCTCCCCTGACACAACTTCAGGCCATTCCCTCAGGTCCTGTCACTGGTCCCCACAGAGAAGAGATCAGTGCCTGCCCCTCTTCGTCCCCTCACAAGGAAGTTGTAACTGAACAGACCAAGTGACCTCAGATGCTCCTCATATGGGTTCCCCTCAAGGCCCTTCACCATCTCTGTAGCCTCCTTTGGCTGCTCTTTAATAGGTTTAGATTTTTCTTGTATTGTGGCACCCAAAACTGCACAGAGCACTCAAGGTGATACTAGCCCTTGAGTATTTGATGAAAGACACAAAAGCCCTCTTTTAAGACATGGCTTTAATTACACTTATTTGGATATTTATTCTGAGCAAAGCTTCCACCTCTACCAAGGAGGGAGTTTGGTCTGACACTGGCAGCACAGGTTCTCTGTGTCCATGGGGCTGCCTCAGCCCAGCATCATTTTGTCAGGCCTTTTTCTTCCCCTCAATTCTCATTTCTCCTTAAAAGCATCATATTAATGTCCCAGACAAAGCATCCACAGATTTTTATACTTGTAGGTGTGGAAGAAGCGGATTCACATTTAGTTGTTATCTCCTCAAAGGCATAAATAAGGTTAAAAAACCCAACCCAACAAAAAACCAAACCCCACAAAATACAAACCTTTCCCTCTCCTCCTCACAACACACAAAGCTGTGCCTGTGCTCTGGCAACCTTTTTGGAGAGTGAAGGGAAGAACAGTGTTGTTTTTTTTTCTTTACCTCAGTATTTCTGTGGTAGAAAGGGCTGCAAAACCTGAGTAGCTGTGGGCCTTCTAATAGCAGGTATGCAAACAACTCTATAAACTAGCTAGGGCTGTGTGTCATTGGTTTTGAAGCACCATTCAAAAAGTTCTTATGCTGAAAACTCTTCCACTGAGACATGAGTCATAAATAAGCAGCTTTGTGGTGGATGCAGTAGCTCCTCTTTCATGTAATCTCTTTTCCTGAAAACTTTGATTGAGAGCTAAGCCACATTCAAGGTTTTGTGGTTGAGTCTGGGAGCTTCCTTCAGTAATCTCATTCCTGAATTAATTGCTGCTGGAGCTCATCACCCATAATAACATTTCCAGAATCTTTCCCTTATTATCTTCATCTATCAGGTTAAATTCATCTTTTTGACATGACACACATTAAAAGGTCTAAAAGAGAAGTACATACTTTGTTACTCAATAGGAAGAAGAAGCACACAGTGCTGTTACTGCCCACAGGTCTGCTTTTGCCCTTCATGAAACATGAAGGACATTTCAGCAAACTTCAAAGATAAACACCTGAAAATAAGAAATCTTCTTGTCCACAGTCCATCACCTTTAAGGACCATGGCAAGGACTCTTCTACTTTCACGGTTTCAGGATGTTTCTATGCAACAAGTAAGAGACCTGCACCAGTCCTACACATAGACAGAGGTTGGGCTCTCTTCCCCTCAGTTCTCCTTGCCTGCAAATTGTCTTAGGCTGAGGGTGTCAGAAAAAAATGGGATTATACTTTTTGCTCAAAGTATTCAGCTGCCAGGCAGCCAGGTGAGGACTGCAAGGTAAAACATTCCTGAGCAGGGGAGAACTCCAGACCATTATTCCAGGTAATTCTTAAGTTAACACAGGTGTAAACCATGCATTCCCCCTTGTTAACTACTGTTCCTATCAGGATTGCAAAAAAAAGTCTTACCCTTAATGAGGTAGGATCCAATTATGCAGGAAATGCATGGACACATTTCAAACACCTGGGGATAAAAGGAGAGAAAGTTTAAGACAGTTTTGAGCTGTATTCTGTCTCAAAAGAAAATCAATGCAAACTCTCTGTCAGATGCTTTTATAATATCTGAAAAAAAATACACACAAATGAATTTTATCTGGATGCTTTTGTGAAAACACAATAGAATTGAAAAAAATTGTTTGTGTAGTAAATGTAAAGCTTGATGTATCTTACAGGAGTCCAAAAGTTTTAAGGCAAATCCAAAGAAACTGTTTCAGTAGGCTTAGGTTTCCTGCACATGGGTGCAATACATTTCATTTTTCAAGTTCTTAAAAGCTTTTATATGAAGTTTGAAAAAAATATCCCATCAGTCAATAACTCATTGTAAACATATACCAGTATAAAACATACAAAATATACTTTTATAGAAGTTACTCACATAAATATAAATTCATATGAAGACAAAAATACATTCATGCTTCGCTGTGGTGAAATCAACTACTCGTAAGGGCATTTGCTCTAATTTCACAAAATTTCCCTGCTTTGTGATGGTATCAAACCAAGAGTGCAGAGAGCTACTGAGGGCCGATACCAGGGTAAGTGAAAGGGGAATCAGAGTCATTCTGCTTTTCTGACTATTATGGTAATGTGATCAGTACCTTGACAGATGCTAAGAATAATTTTGCTGATTGACTTTTCTTCAAACCTAAGGCTGTGGGCAATCAAAGAAAATATGAACATCTGGATAAGCTTTTGATTGCCATGCTCACTGATATACTGCACCCAAATAAGCAACAATTAGTACAGCTTATGTCAAAAGACCCATCAGTTAATTCAAATTAAGGCAGCAAAATTGAATCCAATTGGCATTCATGCATATTTGTATGCATAGTTTAAATAAACTTCTTCTGCACTACATTATCCTTTATTTACAAGGAAAACACATGCAAGTTTTGTGTTTTAAATAAATATTTTCAAAAGCTTTATGATCTCTTAAAGCCGAACTTCTGAGCAAACTCTGTGTCCTTTGGAAGGGCATATCCAGTATAATAAAGATAAAAATGTGTTGGCTTTCTCAAGTTTACATTTCTCACTTGTTAATAAACTTCACAAATTTGGAGAAGTTATGCATAAGCATTTTGTCAGTAGCAATTACAATAACACCAGACCAGTATTTGGGTAAACTTACTACCTAACATGGTGGTCAAGATAACCAGATTGTAGTAAGAAAGGAAAGTCCTAAAACTGAAGACTAATTTCCTCATGTTTTTGCTTGATTTTGAGTGTAAAACCCTGGGAATATGTATTTTCTTTCAAAAAAATAGCATTCTTGTTTGGATTCTATTTATGGAAACAGTAAATTAGGTTGCATGAGAACCCAAGATTAACACTAATCGAAGGCAAAAGACAAAGTTGAAGTTGTGTGCTTAATTTTTTAAAAGGAGAAATTTTTTTAACAGAAATTTTAATTCTAGTTTCTTGCAGTAAATAAACTTTAGTCTTTGCTTGACAGATATAGATACCATTGTTTCCAAGCTAACCCCTTAAAATTTTATTTGTAACTCGAGTGTGGAAATCTGTTCTTTTTAAAAAAATTGTGTCAGCTCTGGCTGAGGTGCTATTGGTGCTCAATTAATTAGAGGTGAAATTTACTGTAACCTCACCTAAATCTCAGTTAGCTCAATACGACCTGACTCTAAAATTCTATTACAAAATCCCAGGATTTCTGCAACACATTCAGATGTGTTCATCCAAAGCCTAATGCAAAGCAGTGGTGAGTAAGGGTCACCCACCCAGCCCCAGCTGCAGCAGTGCTCAGGAACTGGGAACCTCAACCTCCACGTGTAGCCCTGAATGCCCGGTGTTATCAGAGCCAGGGAGCCTCAGAGCAGTGTTGGGAGTATTTAAAGTACTGCGACAACAGAAGAGGGACCATGCCAGAGGAGCAGGTTGGGTGAGTCAGTCCATTGGCATGGGACTCACGTGGCTACATCACCAGCTGCCACTGGTGCAGTGAGTGTGGCCAAGTAGCTGTTACGTTCTTTTTTTCTAAGAGTCCACTTTGTTTTGATGCCAAGAAATAGGTTTTCCTAATCATTGACTCCTGTGAATATTAAGACTCCAACACTCTTGAGAACAATCAGATCAATTAATTAGAAAACTGTTACCATGCTGCTTTCATAAATCAAGGATTAGCTCGTGATCCATAACTTCAAACAGCCTTTTAGCAGTTGTTTTCTTGAAGCTCTTTCCTTTAAAATACTAATACATCCATCTTCTGATTCAGAGGTTAAGAGTTCTTCTATTAGTGTTGCCTTCAGAAATATATTTGACGGAAAATCCCTTAGATAGTCTAATGATGTGGTCCAGTTGCTCTGAAGTGCACAGGCCCCTTACAAATGCTACTCAAAAATCAATAACAATCCTTCAGTGCCTTCAAAGGATGTGGAGTAAGGGCCTTAGTAATAGTGATTGTCTTCAGCAAATAACTGCTCAGTGATTATTCTGCAGTGGCCTAGAAGTCCAAATTCCCCTCGATAACTTTCAAAATGGATGCATGCTGGGAAATGTAAAATCATCCCTAGCACACAGGTCAGTAGCTGAACTTTCTGGCTAAAGTACCTACTTATTTACTCTGTTGCTTTGTCATTATTGACATAAGATTTTGGAGAGGAAAGTCTACTAAAAAAAGTAAGTTCTAAAATAGTAGGTCAGCAGAGTGTATCCACTTTACTCGGCTTCACTACCACAGCAATTCTAGAAGTTCTAGTCCTGGTTACAAGGGTCTCAGCACTTCTAATATTTGCACTTTAGACACAATACAAGAAGTCACGTAAAATGCACAGCAAGTACAGTCAATGTGCCCCACAAAGTGGTTCAACATATTTCTTATAGACTTGTCTTGACTTATTTGCCCGCCCTCAAGGATACACAAAATTTCCAGTATCTCATGTTTTCAGTATCTCCTGTTTGCTAAGAGATCAGGCTTTTCTGAAAGTCTTGGTTGCATCCAATTCACTTTCAAAAATTCAAGTTGTGAAAAAGTTCTGTCTCTCCACAGAATTCTTGGAAAATGAGTGTTCCAACTTTCTGAAGAAAGAAGGTTCTTGGTACACAGAATGGAGAACCTTGCTACATTTATGCTTCACCCTATCAAAACTTTTAAGTAAAAATATTAGAAAAAATTGTCCATATACATACACAGATCGACTGCCAGTGATGTTACTTGCTAGAAGATATAATGAAGTAATGATATAATAAGAAAAATATCTTTGGAAATATAAAGACAGTGATGTTTTTGTATGTTAGCAAAAGAAGTACAAAATAAAGACTGAAGAACACCCAACTGTTGTTTTAATCCTGCATTAGATTTAAAGTATTTTTATTTCAGTTATCTCTCAAGTATTAATGTAAAGTTAAAAAAACCAAAACCCTCTTTGCAGACACGCTGTACCACCATGTTGAGCTCTATGGCTCCATTAACCATAATAAAATCATTGTCATGATTTTTTCCTTCATGCATAGTATAGTGTTTGTGTGAATGTTTGTTGTGACTGGAAGTATATTGTGCCATCCAGCAGCTGACACTATAAGTTATGCAATCCATAAATATAGAGAAAATCTTAGCGTGATTTCAGACCCAGTTTCATTGAGAACAATTCTCTGAACTGGCCACTCTCCTTGTGAGGACATTCCGGTAGCTTAGGGGTTTTTTTTATTTCAAAAGACTTTGAGAACAAATGTTATGTCCAAATATATTCTCTGCAATAATCATAAGGAAGTGAAATAAATTAGACTAAGTACCTACCCAGGAGTAAAATTAGGTTTTACAGGCATGAGTGCTACCAGAGCTATCAGACTCAGGGAACCCTTTACAATGTAGGTCTTAGTGATACGGTAATAATAGCTACTTTAAGCAAGCTGTTGGCTGAATCAGACAAGTTAATCTCAACTATATGTTAGTCAAATCATTTTATCCTCTAAGTTGATTTTAGTCCATTAAGACAGCCTTTTCACTTCACAGTGTGTACAGTCATTTCATTTCCCTCCCTTCATGTGTCTTCACTCAAAGCAGCACTCAACCACTTTGGAGCTTATTAATGTTAACAAGAATGTGGTCTACCTTAATACAGTGTCAAATGAAGTCAGAAAGAGTCATGTGGATGATAGCAAGAGAAACTGCATCAGCGTGCACAATGTTATCATGCAGATGAGAAATATAAATGAGGGATGAAATGTAATTTAAGTCAACACTCAGATGAAAAACAAATGTGCCACTGAAGACAAACAATTTCTGAAGCAGTGGTATAGGAGTCCTTCCTCACTTGTAATTCTTGTAATGGGATTGAAAATCAGAAGAAATCAGAATTGTTAAGCAATCAGGAAATAACAGATATTTTCACTGAAGTTGTTGCATTTCAATGAAATTCTTATCTTTCACTAACAAGGCAAGCATTATAAAACATACTGAGTTAACTGCATGAGCCTGCAAAAAGCTTGTTCATTTGGCAGAGAGACTAAATAGGCCTAAAAGCTTTCTAGCTCATTTTAACACCTTCTGTTTTTCTCATTAAAGCTAGCATTGATGTTCAGTTATTATTGTAGGATTTGATCATATTTACAAACCCTTGTTACCTTTCCTCCTTAGAGACCTGATCTGAATCACTTCTGAATATCTAGCAGATGCTCAAGATATTCAGTTCTTGGAAAGAGGCGACAGACTCTTTAAACACCATCTGAAGCACTGCTGCAATCTCTAACTACTGTGCCTAAAAAGAAAAACTTTCCTTGAAGACAGTTTCAGAGAAGTACCTGCTGCTGGTTTTATCCTTTGAATCAGCTTGTGCTGATCACTGAGGATTCAGGATCCTAGCCTAGATTAATCCCATACAGCTTTACAAAGTCCGTATGTTAAATTTGTTTCCAGTACTTATGCTCAACGTTTGCAGTTGACATAACAGTCCTTGGCCTCCAGCCTCTGGTAATAGAAGAAATGTAACTACTGAGGCCTAAGAGTATGAATGGGAG